GGACTCTTGATGTGGCTAGGACCATATTCTCATGACAGGCATCCACCTGTAAAACCCACAAATCAATTACCCAGGCCCCTGTCATATTTAACACCTCAAACCCTGTTATAAAATCCTACCACCAAATAACTGCAATATTTTTTAAAATAAAACATATTTTAAATGTTGACCTGTTGTGTTTTGCCAAGCTGAAAATGAGGGTGTTTGTGTAACCTTACATGTTAAAGATAAAGAATTAGAACTTTTAGTTGGTAGTCACAGTAGGAAGGAAGAAACTGAACATTGGTTATGTTTTTTTGAGTAAGGTGCCAGTAGAGATCTTTTTACACAGTACAATGTTATAGAAACTTCCTGAATTCTAAGCTTAGTGGGAAAGTAGAAGTCACATTAATGTGGAATGTGAATGCATTCAGCCTTAATTATTAAGATGACTATGTTTATTCTTTGCTTAAAAAGTTTTAAACTGGGGCTGGAGCGATAGCACAGCATATAGGGCATTTGCCTTGCATGTGGCTGACCTGGGTTCAATTCCCAACATCCCGTATGGTCCCTGAGCACCACCAGGGGTAATTACTGAGTGCAGAGTCAGGAGTGACCCCTGTACATTGCCAGGTGTGACCCAGAAAAGGAAAAAAAAAGTTTTAAACCTTTCTGCATAAATGCATGGCAGTAGTACTCCCACAGACACTTATCCTGTATAATATTTCTCTGGTGATCAAATTAGAGATGAAGAATAATAACTAAAAGGAAAAAGGAAGTTTCTTCATCAGCCATGTTCTGGAACTAAACAAAGGCCCATTTCCTGAGTTATCTGTTTTTCAGAGTTGTGGCATCATACTATGTCTCTCCCCAGTCTAAACTCCTAATATATTTTCTTCCTGGGCTTCTCACTGGGAGATATATCCCTTTGGTCCACTAATTACATTTTCCCAAGTATCTCTGCAGGAAGCCAAGTTAATTTTCAAATAAATACTATTACTTTGGGACTGCTTCTCAGAGGTTGTCATGGAAAGTCCTGTGAATTCTGATGTGCTGATGTGATGAATTCTGATGTGAAATATGAATTTCAGATATTAATATAAATGTCATGTCACCAGTGACTGCATGAGTCTCTGTTCAAATAGCCAAGCAAATCCTTATAGCAAGAAAGCTCTCACCCTATGATCCAGCAAAGAATAATTGATCATAATTGTGTAGCATAAGGCAGCCACTACTGCTATTTCTATAGGATCTCTTTCTGTTCAAATAAAGCTAACTTTTCTCTTAAGAGTCCAACAAGATGTCAGGGAGCAGAGTTAGTTCTGAAAGAAAGTTATGTGGCATGCAAGTCTGTTTGTTACTGACTATGTTTGATACATAGTCAGTCGATGAGCCCATGTGTCTGGTGAGCATGTTACTTTTGATTGTTTTCAAAGAAGCCAGTGGGAGAAAAGGATCAGGAGTGGGTTCTCCCTTGTTACTGTGGAGTTGAACTGGGTGTCAACCTATTGTGTTCTACCAAGTGGAGTTTGAAGAGGTGATTGCAATATTTTTGGAATTAATATTTTTCCTTGATATGTATTGTTACTGAATAATAGTCTAAGACTTACTTACACATAGTTAAAGACAGAAAACAGATGCAAAAATTCATATATAAGGATGGTCTCATTCTTATATACAAAGAATGAATCAGAGAAGAAAACAATCAAAGAATCTATCCCATTTAAATTAGTATCCAAAACATCATGTCTAGGAATCAGTTTAGCAAGAAATATGAGAGATCTATACCATGATAAATTTAAATCACTTAAGAAAAATATAGAAGACCCTTAGGAAATAAAAAAATATTCTATATTCATGGATTGGAAAGATCATTATTATTTAAATGAATATCCTACCTAACTAGCTATTATAGAGATTTTATGCAATCCCCATCCAGATTCAGATGACATTCTTCCAGGACTTAGAAAAGTCAATAATAAAGTTTATATCGAATTAGAAAAGACCATAAAAAACAAGAAATTGGGAGGCATTTTATTACCTAATATGGAACTGTGTTATAAAGCTATAATGATCAAAACTGCATAGTACTAGATTAAAGATAGACCCTCCGGTCAATATGTAAGAATCAAATAAATACCCTATGACACAACCTCATATATCACTGTATCACTGTCATCCTGTTGTTCATCGATTTCCTCGAGCAGGCACCAGTAACTTCTCCTTCGTCCTAGCCCTGAGATTTTAGAAAGTGCCACATTGAAGGCTCTTTCAGGGTCAGGAGAATGAGACCCATCATTGTTACTGGGTTTTGGCATATTGAATATGCCACGGGGAGTTTGCCAGACTCTGCTGTGCGGGCAGGATACTTTTGGTAGCCTGTCAGTTTCTTCAGAGTAAGAACTAGATAATTAGAGGTCGCAAGGCTGCAAATGCAGCCTTGTGCTTCCGGGAGCTGGGTTTTATAGTCTCTGGGTCTTGGCCGTTGATGAGATAACACGGTGCTGGGGCAGTTGGTCGGTGAAACACCTACCTACTGGAAGATGGGGGATCTGGGTGGAGGAGGCTCAGTCCCGATCGGAGTAGGCTTGGAGATCTCAGTCCTGGGTCCTGCATGCCTGGGTTCCTCTGCCGGTTCCTTCATGCGTGAGGCTCATCCAAACATGTGGAGAGTGGTCGTAAGCATGGCTGTGGCTGGAACCGGAGGTCTTCAGCTGCCGGGGCTCTGCTCAGAGTGGGGAGGGAAACTCAACCCACCCTCCACCAAGGGTGCCCCAGTGAGGACAGCCAGGCGTGGAGGCAGGAGACTATGCACTGTTCTCTTCCGGGCGCTGGGTTTTATAGTCTCTGGGTCTTGGCCATTGATGAAATTACATCGAGCCAGAGGCAGTTGGTGGGTGTAATGCCTACATACTGGAAGATAGGGGATCTGGATGGAGGAGGCCCAGTCCCGATCCAAAGAGAGCTACCATATGGACCAGCCAATTGCATTCCTCAATATCTATCTGGATGCAGCAAGTCACAAAAATATATACCAAGGTGATCATCTGTCTGCCCCTCATGAATCACTGAATCAATGATAAAATCAAAGCAGAAATCTAAAAATACCTCCAGGATTAGAACACAAATTCAGCAAAATTTGGAAGTACTCTGGACTTGACATCAACTCCTGAGGACTGAATGTTGGTACATTGTCTCTGAAGATTAACATAAAGAAATTCCAAAGTGCATGGTTCACAATCACTTAGCTTCAAGTAAGAGAAGAGGAAGCAAACCAGGTACCTGGCTTCAAGCAAGGTATATAAACAAGTAATTTTCGCCTCATATATCGGGACAGTTAATTTTTGATAAGGGAATGGAGAACATGAAATGGAATAAAGATAGAATCTTCAACAAATGGTGCTGGGGAAACTGGATAACTACCTGTAAGAAATTAAAGCTAAATCCATATCTTACACCGCACACAAAAGTCAATTCAAAGGCATGGAGATCCAACCAGAAACTCTAAAGCACATTGAGGAAAATGCAAAACACTTCAGAATTGAACCTCAATGGTGTCTGAAATTATATGGTACTATTGGCAAAGGCAACACAATAAAAAAAAAACCATGAAATTAAAGAACTTCTGCGTGGCAAAAGAAACGTGGGCTAAAAGTAAAAGACAGCAAACTGAATGGGAAAAACATATTTGCATTCAACACATCAGATAAAGGGTTGATATCCATGATATATAAAGTATTCACAAAATTCAAACAAAAAAATTCAAAAAGTTATTGTAAAATGGGGAAAAGAAATGAATAGACACTTCTCAGAGGAAGACATGTGGATGGCCAGTAGGTACATGAAAAGGCTCAGCATCACTTCATCAGAGAAATCCACATCAAGATAACAAAGAGATACCATCTCACACTAGTGAGAATGGCACATATCAAAAATAGTAAGAACAATCTGTGTTAGCAAGAATGTGGTGAAAAAGGAACTCTGTTCACTGCTAGTGAGAATGTTGTCTGGTAACAACCACCCTTGTGGAAAGAGTATAGAGAGTTCTCAGTAAACTTGGAATTGAACTGCCATATGAACAGAACAGCAATATCACTTTTGGACCTCTACCCCCAAGTCATAAAAACACTCTCTCAAAAGGACATATGCACACCATTATTCATTATTGCACTCACTCAATACAAACACTAATATATGGACTCAACCTAGATGTCCAACAACAGATGAATGAGTTATGAAGATGTGATATATATACACAATGGGATGCTATTGAGCTTCAAGGGATAATGAAATCTCATGCAATTTGCTGCAGTATAGTTGGAACTGGAAGATACCATGTTGAGTGAAGTAAGCAAGAAGGAAAAAGACAAGGACAGGATGATCTCACTTATCTGTTATATATAGAATACTGGATATGGAAATGTAGTAAAAGGAGGATCTCTAGATCACTCTTGACCCCAGTGTTTAGAGGGGAGAAGGATAGAGAAAGAAAGAAATCAAGGTGGGGGGCGGGGTAGAGACAGGGAAGAAGAGAACTGGAAGTAATGAATGGGCATCAAGGTTTCAGCTGTACCAGTAATATGGGTGAGTGGTAAAGCCATATATCCAAAACACAGACTCAACAAAACTGAAAACATGAGATCTAAGCTGCAATCACTGAAACTTTGTAATGTGTCTGCCAAGTTGAAAGGCAGAGATGGGATGGGGGTGAAGGTTGGGGTGGGGAAAGGGGAGAAATCTGGTGGAAGGAAGTTGGCAATGACAGTGGGATTGGTGTTGAAATATTATATGCCCAAAACTCAAATATCAGTAACTTTGTAAATCACAGTTTTTTTTAATAAGTTGTAAAAAAAACAATGCAATTTCAAAGCTAGCCTCAGTGGGCAGCTTTTAGAGAATATCCATACAAGGAGGGAGTAGTTGGAGATTATAGTTGACTTTTTGCTTCTGTGCAGTATGAAGAATTCCTTTTAAGACAAATGAAAAGATGTGTTTAGTAACCACTTTCTCCTTTTCCCTAGGGTATTAAATAGCACATTGTTTGAAAGCTGGGAAATAGTTGGACCTTACCCTTCCTGGTGGGTGTTTAACCTACTGCTGTTGCTAGTACAAGGCCTGAACTGCTTCTGGTCATACTTGATTGTAAAAATAGCTTGCAAAGCTATCTCAAAAGGCAAGGTAAGATGAAACTTACCCTTTGCAATGTGTCTCAAAACATACTGTTTTTTCAGTTTTGAATCAATGAAAACACTATTTGTTCTTTCAAATTTCTCCTTTGAAATGTTGCCTCGCTGGCTCGAAACATGAATCAAAGTGTCATTTTATTCTGCTCAGTTCATTTTTTAAAATTTGGCATTATTTTGCACATGATGATTGTAATAATCTATATTCATACTTTCAGAGATAATAATGATACATTATTTGTTGTATTCTTTTCTCCCTCACTGTCTCCCTTCATCCTTCTCTGATCATACCTGCATTGAACACTGAACATGAATTCAGTTATTTTTCCTCTTATGATAAGTTTCTCCCTTTATTATTTATTTCTAATAAAATTCAATCACTTTGATTAAAAATAAATTCATGAGGCTGATTGAAATACAGCTGGGCATGACCCCTTCTGTGTAGAGCAGCAGCTTTTCTGATTTGTTCTCTGTGACATTCTCTTACTTTCATTGTTTATTCTCTTCCTTCTGCCACCCTGGAAGGCTGGGAAGTGGAACCCTTTACATGTAAGTTCCTACACTGTTCTCTGTCCTTGTTCTGGATGCCACTCTCACCAGAGAGGCACTCAGTTTCTTTGGTTTCCCTGAATATTGTTCTTCAAATCTTTTTGCACTGACTAGAGGCTCTAACTGAGGTGTGGCTCCCACTAGCTGCAAAGGATATAGTAGGAACCGCTAAGTTTATGCCTTTTTCTCTGAGTTTGCATTCTGCTAAATTTTGCATGATCCAACAGAGAGGAGAATTGTTTTGTTGTATTTAACATATTGGCTTTAAAACATAAACATCACAGAGGCCAGAGGTATAGCAGGTAGGGTGTTTGCCTTGCATGCTGCTGACCCAGTTTTCATCCCCAGCATTTCATATGGTTCCCTGAACACCACCAGGAGCAATTCCCGAGTGCAGAGGCTGGAGTAAACCCTGAGCTTCACCAGGTGCGGCCCCAAAAGAGTCCATAACAGATGGCTGAGATGAAGCTGACTATCCTAGGAGAGCAGCAGTAGTCCTCCTCAGTTTTTTGAAATTAAGGTGTTTTAAAGACTGAGACCTAGAATGCAATTAATGATTGTCTCTGTAAACTTGAAGGAATACATTGGACAGCAGACAACACATCAGGTAAAAACAGTAAAAATTTTTAATCAACATCACACAAGGAAAAGACCAGAGTGAAGTAGAAAGAAAAGTTAAGGAGAGAATCACATGGTCCAGATGGAGACCCCAGTCAGCCCTTGACCACTTTTTCCTCAGATGGGGGAATAGAGGAAGCCCCTTGCACAGGTGGCTCCAGACATCTAGTCACATGCTATGGCCTACGGCAGGAGTATTCAGTATCGGCTCTTACATAAGTTCAAAATAATTGATGGGGTTTTTGTTTAGAAATAAAGATTAATTTTCCCCTCTATGACATTTTCTTTAAAATAACATAAATTTCTAGTTTTAAATCCCTGTGCTCTCATTTGATGATGCAAATTAAATCAGTGGGTCCAGTGCCTTTAGCTGAATAACAGGAAGTGGAGTGCAATGATGCTGAAGATCCAGTTACTTGTGTTCTTACTGCTGTTGCCACCTGATGTGTTGTCTTCTGTCCAGTGTATTCCTTCAGATTTACAGAGACAATCATTAATTGCGTTCTAGGTCTCAGTGTTTGAAATATCTTACCTTCAAGATACTGAGGAGAACCACAGCTTCTCTCCTAGGATAGTCAGCTTCATTCAGCCATGGGTTAGGGACTCTGTTTCCAGTGGGTTGTTTTGAAACACTCTAAAATGTTTTTGGAAGGAAGCATAGATATAGATTTTTTTCCCAAATGCAATTTAAAACAATCTAACTAAGCATGTAAATTAATTAGTCTTTGAAACTGAAATTTTCTTAAATCCTGTTTGCAGCTTAATAGATGAGTAAGGGATTTCTAATTGTAGTGGAGGCTTTTTATAATGTTGTCTTTTGTGATCCATAGTTTTAAAGTTAAATATTATAATCTAGTTATCTGAGTGCTTTTGTATCTAAATTGTCTTTGAGATAGACAGTTTGTGTGAATTCAGACTCATCTAAAAGGACATTAGAGTGAGGTCTGTTTTTATATTATTCCTTCATCCCTGGTCAGAGTAGAGCAGTAGTGTTCAGTTGTCTCCTGTCACCACAAACTGTGAAAAAAATGGACATTCTTTCAGTATGGGTGACTTTTTAAGTGGGAAGGCAGCTAAATCCATGAGAGAGTGATAGGGATAGAAAAAAATTGTAATTTGGAAAAGTCTCCAGTTAATTCTGACACACTTCCCAAAATTGCCAACCCCTCCAACTAACCCTCGAGGGAAGCACAGAATCTTGGGGGGGGGGGGGGGGGTTTCCCATAAACCAAGGCTACCAACTTCCCAATTCCACCCAATTTAGAAAAATAAATTGCATTAAGTTACTGAGAGACCTGTTGGTTAAAACTCTTACTATAAATCCACAAATTAGCCTTATATAGCAAGATGTTTAAACTTCTAATTTTTAAAGCAGTGGAATATTTTCTTCATTTCTCTCTAAGTGACTCTCTTGATAGGCAGTAGTGTTCATGGAATGTATATATTTATACCCAGGTAACTTACTTCATCATCCAAAGTACTGTGGGGCTTGAGTGGAGAACTAAAGAATCCCACAGTAATGGTGGGGATGGAATTGATGTTAATACAGTCAGATTTCTTGGGTAATATCTTAAACTAGACCTCATTCATCAGGATCCCTGTCGTTAGTTGCTGCCCCTGGTTAAGTAGAATGTAAAACAAGGGTTCTACTTAATTTTTAGCAGACAATAACTCTATTAAGTGATAAAACAATATATCTTAAAACCTAATAAGCACAATATTTTAATCATCCAAGCTGGTGGAGACCTCCATTAGTGTCATTAAGCATTGAGCGCTGACTTTAAATGATGATCAAGGAGAATATGATCATCAGAGGAGCAGTTGAGGGGTTTGTTCCGCATCCTTGTCAATGCACTCCCATGATAGTTTGCCACTTGGCTAGTACTAGTGGGATTCCTAATTCATTCTCAGTATTGAAAGATAAACATGGAACATGTCACTACATTCAGCTTCTGGGGTGCCTAATCCACCTACATTCCTTTGTGCCCAAATTGTATATTTTCAGTGAAGAAGGACCAGTTACAATGGCAGCGTTCATAACTTTTGATTTTAGAATATTTTGATTTGGATCACTTTTCTTTTTTGTGAATGATTGCATGTGCTTCTGAGCATGCAGTACTTTGCTGATTCCTTAGGACCTGGTCAAACTCACCTTCTCATATTTCACAGGTGTCCAAGGATGACCGAAGTGATATTGAGTCTAGCTCAGATGAGGAGGATTCAGAACCTCCTGGGAAGACCCCCAACTCTGCAACCACCACCAATGGTACAAGCGGTACCAATGGATATCTTCTGACCGGCCCTTGCTCCGTGGATGATTAATCATGGAAAAGTACAAGTCCTGAACAAAGTGAACAGTTTGTTTCTGGAAGTATTTAATAAATCACAAATGCAGTTCCTTTCACCATATTTCAGCACCAGAAATAAAAATTAGGATTATCAAAGCATTTTGAATAGTGCACTGCCATGTGTCCTGTCTGTGAATGAAGAAAAATTATCATTCTCTATATGTAGGCATGCTGTATGTAATTGACACAAGGGAACAGTATTTGCATATGTACTGTCTTAGAATATTATTTATTTTTTTCTATTTGTTTGTAAATTTGTGGACAAAAGAGGGTTTCCTCACTCCTTTTGACTCTCTGGGTTTTTGACAGTGAGAGAGATGCTCTGTTTGCTTCCACCCTTTTCTCTTGCTGTAACCCAGTTTTCTAGGAGTATCAGCTTAATTTGTCAGAGCAAGCCAAACTAAGTGCAAAGTTCTTGTACAGCTTCAGATAGGTTTGCTTTCTTTTGTTACAGTGCCCGTAGTGAGATTTCCTACTCAGTCTCAGTGGCCCTTTGCCCCCTACCAAGTTTAGGCATGATGAGCTAGTACTTGGCAGTTGTCAATCTTCATGGTGGAGTATCAGTTCATAGGAAAAGGAGTGGTGATTGAAGAACTTTTTGAGTTGTTTCACGTTAGAGTGCTGTGGAATAGATTTCATTTTTGGGTACACAGCCAAGATTTCTTCAGTTAATGGGATAGCTACTTGAAGGATTCACTTTGTCAGTTTCAGAGGATTTTTGGTTGTTGAGTTTCTTTCTCTCTCATGAGTTCCATGCTGGGATTCTGGATGAAAATGTTTACTTAAGTTCACAGTAATAATCAAAGAATTACTGTTGGGAATTTATCTGGTGACTAAAGGTTGACACAGAAAGTAGCAGATTTCACAGACTTGACCACTAACCCTGCTGTTAGCATGATGTTTTCTGTCATATCATGAATAAAGAAGCCAAGTATTTGGGGACAGAAAATAGAAGATTTTCAAGAGATGGCCAAAGTCACCCCTAGGACAAAGCACTTTACTGCAACCAGCTTTCAAGTCTCTAATATTTGATTTTTATGTTTTTTATTTTATCAAGAAAAATAAAACCAGTGGGAGAAAATTATTTTACTCTTTTTCTTTTCTTCTTACCCCAGAATGATTTTCTATTATTAAAGCTGAGCAATATTATACTCTAAATCTTTAAAGTGACTTCTTTCAACGTCTTGTTTGGTTTCCAAGAATTTTTTGGAAAGAAGTATTTTGAGAAACAATAAAAATTCCGTCAGAAATATCAGCAATGAGAAAGACTTGAAAAAATCAGTTTCTATAATTTCCTATATGACAGTGTTCGCTAAGTGGAGATAACTAAATCTTACATATATACCAAAGATTTTCATCTCTTTCCTTCCAGATATTAGTAAGGAGTTAAAGGGTATCATAAATATGTATTTCATAAATCAGAAAGGTCAATGTCTAAAACAAGGAACCAAAAAAATAAGTAGTAGTATGAATATGAATTGAATTTCACCACAAAGTACTCATGTACGGTTCAGAGCCATGCACATTCATATGATTTGGGGGAGGAATTTTTAACTAACTTTAAATAAATTTGTTATTTTTTTAATTGATAATTTGAAATATGATTTGGGGGGAAATTTTTAAACAAAGTTAATGCCTACACTAGCCAACCTTTCAAGTAATATTTTTTTTAAAAAGAATGTTCTCACATATAATATTAAATCTTCCCCCTTCATTATTTTCAAAATAGTATGATGCTGGTATAATCCATCATAATAATTGGGACTATCTTTGCTTACTTAAGAAACAATGCAATTTATTCTAATTTTAAAAAATCCTATTATTTTATTTCAGAGGGAAGGGAAAATTCTAGGAGTATATTTTGTGGGTGGCTTGAATTTGTAAGGCCTATCATAAATATCAAAAATACTTGTTAGTCATCTGAACATCTGCTAAAATGCAGAGATATAAAAAGTAACAGCAAACATCTTGTACTTGAAAATTTTTTGAGGTGAAAGTTTCTTTTCTTATCAGCTAAAATGTGGAATAGAAAGGAGAATTATACTTCACTTTAGTGTATGAAGCAAATCTTTTTAATTCGTAAAATAAAGCAGAGAACAATGATGATTCAGGTTTGGATTATCTGATGGTTTTTAGCTCAAAAGAAATGGTTTTTGAGATCAGTTGTAAACTAAAGATTTAGAAAAGTTGCATAAAAGAAAGTAAAATAATTCTGTCCTTTAAAAAGACAAATCTAAATAATCTGGTTTTCCAAAAAGTTTCTTACAAAAATAACTGGAAATGCCCAGGCTCTTGGAGAAAAATAACAAGAGTTCTCTGTATTCCTACAGACTTTTATTACATTTTACAAAATGGTATGTGTAGGCCTCTAAAGATGAGTGGTATCTCTCTCTACTAATCTCCCACTGGTCTGCTAAGGCTGAGAGAAGAAAAAATATGTGAGATTATTTATCTACTACCTATGTGAAACCATTGCTTTGAAAGTGTATTTCGTAAATTCAACAGTAAAGTGTTGTTTCCCGTTACATAACTAGCCTGTGTTGCTCTTTCTCTTTCCTGGTCACATTCCAACCTTCTCAAGTCAGTAAAGCGTGTAAGGATACATCTAAAGTATTTTTTTCCTAATGTTATAGCTTTTACTAGCTCTCTTAGTGGAGAGGGAAAAGTAGAAAATCAAGTAGAATTTGGCCTTGGGTCAATAAATGGTAGAAAAATGTGTGATCTGTATATGTATACGTACGTTTCTCTAAAAATGTGATAAAACCAAAATACCACTGACTCATCTTTACTCATATTTTCATACAAACCATCCTCCACAATTTCCCATCCCCCTCTCAACTTCCAGTTCAGACTTTCCACAGAGTTGAGAGTGGCAAACACTCCAATGGCACAAACTAGATCCTAAAAGGCATAAGGTATACACCTAATGTAGCAAGCAGATCCTAATTTAGTCCTGTGAATGTTAAGGATAGAGCAGCCACTCTCAATATTTCTAATTATTATTTCATTTGGAAAATACATGTGATGACTACTGTACTCCAGGATTTTATTATCATCCAACTCCTGCTAGACAGATGATATCCTGAGGTACCATCAGGTAATGAAACAGCTAGCCAAAAAAAAAAAAAAATGAATAAGAAAGATATGGGCAAGCGTTTGATGAGATAAATAGTCTTTAGTGAGGTTACACTGCAATAATTTCAGCCCAAATAGTGTGTAAACCTTAAAATGTCCAGTTCTGCTGCCAGAATTTCCATTCTGAGTCATGAATTTGAAAAAACCAAATTCCTTCACCTTAGGTAGCAAAGGTTTAAGTGTTTTACTTTCTGTACTTTAGGCTGTTGTTATTTGGGCCTAAGTGAAAAATGAGATTTTATTTCAGCTTACTTGAGTCTTTGCAAAGAACTTTTCAGAAAGGACTTTATGGACACCTAATGATTGTTTTCAAAATGCTCATGATTTTGAATTAAATTAATTTTTGTCCCTTTCTTAGAAATATTAATGCCAAAGTTTCCTGACTATTTGAGTACCTTTTCTTAATTTGAAATACAAAATGCATACATAATAATTCCAAAGGTGTTAACAGTGTTTGTTTATCAGTATGTGTGATGATATTGTGTCCAGAGAGGCTTCAAGATATACTTTGGAAATAAAAAGGTAAATGTTTACATTTCATGTAATAATCTGAGGTCTTAAGATTCTGGCTTGCTTTTCTCTTGGTTTTTTTTTGGGGGGGGGGGGGAGCTGCTTCCTGCTTTGTAAATAAATAATAGTTGCCCTGAATGTTTATAACATACAAATGAAAAATAAAATCAATCGAAGTCAATCTTATGAGAAGTGATGACAAAGCACTTTCAGTTTTTAAGCAACATGTAAGAAAAGAAAATGCAGTTAGCACTCAGTAATCATAAGGAATTATTAAAGTCATACAAACTAAAGCAAAATGTTAATTTACATTATTGTTGTTCCAAGTTTACATTTTTCTTGGTAAAGTGCAGTTTTGCCATTCTCAAATTATCAGAGCGAGTAGCCCTGTTTCACTCTGGCCACATTTTAGATCTTCCTAATTAGCCAGGAAAGGATCATCTCCTGCTCCTTTATGTGCGTGGTTCCCTCCCTTCCTCAAGGGGGCGCCCAGTGGATGTAGAGGAGCAATTGGAATACCCAATGCTGTTTTTCATGGAGAAAATTTTACTACAGAATATCAAACATCATAATGTTAATAAGATTTGTTATTGAGATCTGCAGACACCAAAGGAAAACTTAAGTCTTTAACAGGCGTTTCCAATTTGAGTTCAATCTGAAGCCTTTGAAAGGAAAATATTTGCCAAATAATCACAAGCTAAAGTCCCATTAGATCAAAGAAACATGTTTCCATGTCTGCAACCAGATGACATACCATGTATTGTCTCTGTACATTTTCAAGATTGTTCAGGCAGTGATTGGAGGGGACCTTTATCCTTAAATCTGTCTTGCTTTTTCTCACTCACTCACATTCCTTTAAGCTACCTGAAATTCTTGATACACGAAAGCCTGAATAACTGTCACTTTTCTTCTATAAATTTCCCAGTAGCCTTTGGATCAGCGTGTAGCCACACTTTCTTTTCTATTTTATTTCATTTTTTTTCTGAGAGTGTTGTACCCCCATAGTCTGATTCCTTGATGTAGATCTGTGAGAGCTTGAATTCCTTTGATACATATAGTATAGCCTGGAAACCAGGGAGCTATAGCGGTTGGTATAATTTCTGTGTTAAATGATAAACTAGATTTTACAGAAATGTTTTCTTCCCTTTGATCTATATTGTAAAATCTCATTATAAAATTGTCCTTTAAAAATTGAAGTGTTTGTTTTTTAAAGTTAATAGGCCAAAGATAGGAAGTGGCAATTTTAGAACTTTGACTTTAGAACTTCATTCCTTTAAGCAAAAGAAGTATCTTCGTGTTTGACTTCCAAAAGTTTCATAAAGCCTCTAATCATATAATTTTCCTCAATTATGTTTGCCCTCATCATCATTTACCTCTGCAGTCATTTGTTGTTGTGTAAGGGGGAGGTGGTTAGTTTGGGGATTTGGTTTTTTTTAAAACTTGCAGTGAGAAATAGGATAGGTGACAAACTTTTCTTATTGTTGCTGTTGTTGTCGTTTTTTTAAAGATAATTCAGTGCTTGAGCATCTCTGTCAGAAATGGAATGATGTACTGTTAGCCAATTAGAAATATTTTATGTATTGTTGTGTTTTGCTGATTTTTATATGAAAACTATAATTATTCATTCTTGATGTCTGGAACAATCATTATGAGGATCATTTTACTTTGGAAACACTTTCATAATAAAGATAAGTGTTAAGAGTATTGTGTAAATGCCCTTTTTCTGTAAGCACTACCCAGGTTGTATTAGTAATATGTCATATTTTCTGGAATAAGACTTATTATATTACTATGTTGTCCTACTAGTTCTTGAAAACCTCAAAAAGTAACACACACACACACACACAGAGTTGAGAATTTGGCCAAACTATACTCTATAGAATTGCTACCTCGGTGTCCATTGTG